AATGGATATAGAGATGAAAAGACTAAATTACGAAAGGTTGAAATTACAGAATGATGATGGTCACACAAGGAGGAAATTATGAAAGAACTTGAGAATTAATGTATGAAAAGAAGAAAACCAAAGGATCAAAGGACGAAAGAACGAACGTTTCAAAAGACAAAAGGAAGAAAAGACAAAATTATGAAAAAACGTAAAGACCAAAAGTCGAAAAACGAAGGGAGAAAAGCACAGAAGAACAAAAGAGTGAAATTAAGATAGAACGAAAAGATGACAAAACGAAAGAACGTAAGGACCAATCAAGAAAAAGGAAAAAGGACCAAATATTAGTAAATTCATAAATCACTATTCTGGTAATTTCAAATGAGATTTTAGAAAAATTTTGATATTTTTTGCAAAAAAATTGACGTCAAATTATATTCTCATGAATCTTCGAAAAATATTCAAGAGCTTTTCAGCACGATATTCAAAAATCGACTCACAAAAACTGATTTCTGTTGCAAAATCTACACATTTTTAATCAACAATTTTTTCAAGACGGACAAGAGTAGTAGAACTAGGCTTCTCGGAAAAAAATAACTGACATCAAATGAAGTCGTCGTGCAGAACGACTTCTTTGAACTGTATAATAAATTCCAATAAATTCCTTCAATCACCAAGGGATTTAACAAATGAAAGTGGACCGAGCTCACAAAGCCTTCTCGGTAACTCGAACAACCGAGTCGCACCGAAGAAAAAGGTTGGATTTATGTAATCAACTGTAAAGATCGTAATCAGATCAAACGAGAAGGTCAAATATCACGAGGTTCATGGTTCAGATTTGGTAGATCTGAAAAAAGAAAAATTCGTTGTGAATGACTAAAATCATATTTTTCTTTCTAGATGTAGTTATTTTAAACGTCGCGATGATGGTAACGTTGCTACCAAAACGTGACAAATAGAAAAAGAATACATTTTACAAAAAGACTGTTGTCACTTCCGGGGAAACTCAACGGCTATTCTGTGCGCCGAGATTTTACGGCCATGCTGTACGTGAAACGGTTATCCGGTCGTAACATCTCGAATCCAGTTTATGACTCAGTGCAATACAGGATAAACACTCGACGATTTCAGCCTGTAAGAACTTCTAGAATCCCCATTTCGAAAATTCTGTGAGCGACGCTTTCGCAATGTGGAATTTTACAAACTCCATGCCGTATCTAAATCCGAATCTAGATCTAATAATGAGCACTACGTTTCAAATTAGTACCAACCTAGATTCAAATTTCAGGAAATAATTAGAACGATCTGCACAGATCAGATCAAGCCCGTTCGCCTTAATCATCTCAACTTTTACTCCTTTCGTCTGTTTTTTTTAAACAGTCACCCATTGTTGACGAATCCCCTTCGAATCCCCCATTCCGTTGACCTGGTGGGTCAGGCCGCCGCCCCCGCCGCCTCCTTGCCGTCGCCGCTCAATCAATACTCTCGTTAGACCGAACCGTTGCAAATGTGCATTATATTTGGCAGGAGTTTAAGCGGCGATTTGTTCACGTTTTGACAGCACGTATGCAGAAAACGAGCGCGAAGTGCGTGACTTGGCAACAAAATGTAACGGGATTACGGCCCCAAAAAACACACAAGCGACAAAAACTCTTCCTAATTGAATTATGGGGGAACGGCGTAAAACCTTTATTGCTCTCTCGTAAAATTTGCTCAAAGATGATACGACTGGCACAGTTACGTTATCGATTCCAGAGTGTCTTCTCAGGGGTCAATGCATTCCATGGGCGTACGTGCCGGGCTCGCATGCACGCGACGGCTCGCTGTGCTCGTTTTGTTGCTGCAGTCAAGGTTGCCTTTTCGGTTTTTTCGTCTCTTTGGTTTTTGCAGGTTGGCATGCGGGAATGGTGCGAGCGTTCAGGTGGAAAGGCTGACAACTACATAATTTGGAGCTTTTTGTCGCGGGATCTCGCTTTGGAGGTTCAGGAAGTTTTGTTGTTTAATGCAACGGGGATGCGAACGTGTAACTGAATTACAACTACCTGACAGAATAATGCACTTAGATGTTGCTATTTTTGCCGCTATTTGCATTTAAGTTCGCCTTTGTTCTATGATCGGATGTGGTGTCGACACGCAGACTAGGATGGATTAACGCTGAAGATGACAACGAGTTTCGAAACTTGAAAGTTATTTTAGTCTTTTGTTTTAACGGAAAAAAGTGACACTTTGACACCAAGTGTAACTGGGGATGAAAAATAGAGAGGTAATAGATACAATTCTAGAAAAAATGTTGTATATATAATTTTGATGAACCTTTTGTGTTTTACGTGATGTTATTAAGAATCCTATATTGTTTAGTCCATTCATTGTCTTCATTTTTTCGTTCCATTCAACTTTTTAACTTTAAGCGTTTAATCCGAGTTTTATTTTAAACTTCATAGAGTTCATTTTTAACGTAATTATTGTCACGAGAAGGTTGGGTAACCTCTTGATACTTTCATCTTTTCTTGACGTTTCATGATCCCTAGCCAAAAAATTTTACAATGGCAAATGTTATTCAATTTTATATAATAACGTAATCTATTTGTGGTTTATGAATCCGTGTTGAATTTTTATTTTGATCTTTGGAAAAAATCAAAATTTTAGACTTCTCCATTTTTCAACTTTCGATTTCTTAATTCTCGATCTTCCTGTTTTGGAGTTTTCAGGTTTTTCAATTCCTCGATTAAGCCATTTTTTTATTTTCCCATTTCTCGATTTCTCAACTTTTTTATATTTCGATTTTTCAGTTTTTAATTCTTCATTTTTTCGAATTTTAAATTTAGTATTTTTCAGGTTTTTGATTTTTCAATTTTTCGACTTCTCGATTTTTTAAATTTTTGATTTCTCAATTTTTCAATGTTTCCATTTCGGGATTTTTAATTTTATCGATCCTGCAGTTTTTCAATTTTTGGATATTTCAGTTTTGAAAATTTTCAATATTGGATTCTTCAATTTTCGACTTTTCGATTTTTTCGATGTTTCAATTATTCTAATCATTAAATTTTAAATTTTTCAGTTTTTTGATGTTTCGATTTCTCAATCTTTCGATTTTTCGACTTCTTGGTTTTAGATTTTTCGGTTTTTCAATTTTATGATTTTTAAAATTCCTGATTTTTCGATTTTTAGATTTTCGATTTTTAACTTCGAGCTGGCGAATTTTCTATTTTTCAATTTTTTGATTTCTCAAGTTTCCCATGTTTCAGTATTGGAATGTTTCAATTTTTAGATTCTTCAATTTTTCAATTTTTCAATATTTGAGTTTTGAAATTTTTCATTTCTATTCTTCTATTTCGATCTTTCGACTTTTCAATTTCTCGTTTTTTCCTTTCTCTATTCTTCAAATTTTCACTTTTAAAATTTTAGATTTTTCCATTTTTTTGACCTCTCGGTTTTAGATTTTTGGATTTTTCAATTTTGATTATTAAAATTTTTGAATTTTAATTTTTTGACATTTTTCAAATTTTGGATTTTCGATTTTTTGATTTTCAAATTTTGGATTTTCGATTTTTTGATCTCAAACTTTTAAATTTTGGATTTTCGATTTTTCAATTCTTCAATTTTTTACCTTTGCGATTTATCAATTTTTCAGTTTTTGGATTTCTCAAGTTTTCGATGTCTCAGTTGTGGAATTTTTCAATTTTCAATGCTTGAATTTTTCGATTTTTCGATGTTTCAATTCTGTTGTTCTATTTCGATCTTTCGGCTTTTCAATTTCCCGTTCCCGTTTCCTTCCTCCATTCTTCAAATTTTCAGTTTTAAAATTTTAGATTTTTCAATTTTCTTTGACGTTTGGATTTTTCGATCTTTCTTTTTTTATTGACTTCTCGGTTGTAGATTTTTGGGTTTTTCAATGTTTCGATAACTAAAAATTTTGAATTTAAATTTTTTGATTCTTCAATTTTTGTTTTTTTTTTTAAATTGTAGATTTCGGAATTTTTCAATTAATCGCTTTTTCATAATTTGCGATTTTTTAAATTCTGGGTTTTCAATGTTTCGGATTTGGAGTTTTTCAATTCTTCAATTTTTCGATTTTGCGAGTTCTCGATATTTCAATTTTTGGATTTCTCAAGTTTTCAATGTTTCAGTTTTGGGATTTTTCAATTTTTCGATTCTTCAATTTTTCTATTTTTCCGTATTTCAGTTTTGGAATTTTTCAATCTTCCTCCATTTTTAATTTTTTCAGTTTTTAAATTTTACATTTTTCAGTTTTTTTGATGTTTCGATTTCTCGATCTGTCTTTTTTATTGACCTCTCGTTTTTAGATTTTTCGGTTTTCCAATTATACGATTTTTAAAATTTTTAAATTTTCAATTTTTTAATTTCTCGATTTTTGGATTTTTCAATTTTTACGATTTTTTAAATTTTAATTTTCGATTTTTATATTTTAAATTTTTGATTTTCTTTTATTGCATTTTTTATAATTGCAATTTTTTAAATTCTAGATTTTCGATTTCTCAGTATTTCAATTTCTCGGTTTTTCACTTTTTTCGATCTTTTAAATTTTGGATATTCGATTTTTCGATTGACCTTGCGATTTATCGATTGTTCAATTTTTGGATTTCTCAAGTTTTCGATCTTTCAGTTTTGAAATTTTTCAATTTTTCCATTTTTCAATTTTTCTTCTATTTTTCTATTTTTCCATATTTCAGTTTTGAAATCTTTCAATCTTTCGATTCTTCTATTTCGATCTTTAGACTTTTCAATTTCTCGTTTTTTCCTGTGGAATTCTCGATTTTTTAATTTTTAGGTTTCTCAATTTTTCAATTTTTAAATTTTAGATTTTCCAGTTTTTTTGATGTTTCGATTCCTCGATTTTTTATTGACTTCTTGATTCTAGATTTTTCGGTTTTTCAATTTTACGATTTAAAAAAATTTTTAATTTTCAATTTTTCTTTCGTTCTTTGGTCCTTCCATCCTTTCGCTCTTGGACCAGTATATCCTTTCGTAATTTCATCCTTCCATCCTTTGGTCCTTACGTCCTAAAGAACTTGCATTCTTAGATTGTTTCGTCCTTTCATTCTTTCGTTCTGTTGTACTGTCGTCCTTTCGTCCTTACGCCCTAACAACCTGGAGCCCTCACGCTTTTTCGTCCCTTCATCCTGTCGTCCATTCGGCCTTTTCTCCTTACATTCCTTCCTAATTTCGTTTTTTTCCTTTCATAATTTGGACGAAATGTGGTGCTTTGATCCTTTAGTTTTTCGTAACTTCGTCCTTAATTCCTTTCGCTCTTTCGTCCGATCGTCCTTTCGTGTATATCATCCTTTCGTCCTTTCGCTCTTTTATCCTATCGTCCTTTCGTTTTTTCGTCCTTTGGTCCTTTGCTTTTTTCGTCCAATCGTCGCTTCGCGTTATCGTCCTTCCGTACTTTCGTCCTTTAGTCCTTTCGTTCTTTCGTCCTTTTGTCCTTTCGTCTTATCGTCTTTTCGTGTTATCATCCTTTCGTCCAATCGTCTTTTCGTGTTATCGTCCTTCCGTGTTATCGACTTTTCGTCCTTACGTCCTTCAGTTCTCTGATCATTTCGTCCTTTGGTCATTTCGTCCTTTCGTCCTATCGTCCTTTCGTCTTTTCATCCTATCGTCCTTTCGCTCTTTCGTCCGATCGTCCTTTCGTGTATATCATCCTTTCGTCCTTTCGCTCTTTTATCCTATCGTCCTTTCGTTTTTTCGTCCTTTGGTCCTTTGCTTTTTTCGTTCAATCCTCTTTTCGCGTTATCGTCCTTCCGTACTTTCGTCCTTTAGTCCTTTCGTTTTCTCGTCCTTTGGTCCTTTGGTCTTTTCGTCCAATCGTCTTTTCGAGTTATCGTCCATCCGTACTTTCGTCCTATAGCCGAAAGGATGATAGGATGAAAAGACGAAAGGACGATAGGACGAAAGGACGAAATAACCAAAGGACGAAATGATCAGAGAACTAAAGGATGTAAGGACGAAAAGTCGATAACACGGAAGGACGATAGCACGAAAAGACGATTGGACGAAAGGATGATAACACGAAAAGACGATAAGACGAAAGGACAAAAGGACGAAAGAACGAAAGGACTAAAGGACGAAAGTACGGAAGGACGATAACGCGAAAAGACGATTGGACGAAAAAAGCAAAGGACCAAAGGACGAAAAAACGAAAGGACGATAAGATAAAAGAGCGAAAGGACGAAAGGATGAAAAGACGAAAGGACAAAAGGACGAAAGAACGGAAGGACTAAAGGACGAAAGGACGGAAGAACGAGAGGACGAAATGACGAAAGACGATAACACGGAAGGACGATAACACGAAAGGACGATTGGACCAAAAAACCAAAGGACCAAAGGACGAAAAAATGAAAGGATGATATGACGAAAGGAGGAAAGGATGATAAACACGAAAGGACGAAAGTATGATAAACACGAAAGGACAATAGGACGAAAGAGCGAAAGGACGATAGGATGAAAATACGAAAGGACGATAGGACGAAAGGAAGAAAGGATGATAGGACGAAAGGTCGACAGGACGATAACACGAAAGAACGAAAGGACGAATTGATCAAAGAACTAAAGGACGTAAGGACTAAAAGACGATAACACGGAAGGACGATTGGACGAAAAAACGAAAGGACGAAAGGATAAAAGGACGAAAGAACAAAAGGACTATAGGACGAAAGCACGGATGGACGATAACTCGAAAAGACGATTGGACGAAAAGACCAAAAGAGCAAACGACGAAAAAACGAAAGGTCGATAGGACGAAAGAACGAAAGGATGACAACACGAAAGGACGATAGGTCTAAAGGACGAAAGGACGAAAAGACGAAGGGACGAAAAGTCGAAAGAACGATAACACGAAAGGACTATAGGACGAAAGAACTAAAGGACGAAAGGTCGAAATGACCAAAGGACGAAAGGACGAAATGACCAAAGGACTAAAGGACGGAAGGACGAAAGGACGAAAGAACGAAAAGACGAAAAGACGGAAGGACGAAAAAACGAAAGATGAAAAGGGCGGAAGGACGAATGGACGAAAGGAAGAAAGAACGGAAGGACGAAAAGATGAGAAGATGGAATTATGAAAGAACGAAATTATGAAACGAAGAAACTAAGTATGAAATGACGAATCGACGAAAAAAAATAAAAGGACGAAAGGTACACAAAGCTTTTATTTGGTGTCAAGAGTTTTTTAAATCAGTGTTTGATAGTCTTTATTATCATTAAAACTTGTGAAAAACGTCTAATAATAAATTGGCAACGATGAACGTAGCAACATTTTTGATGCAATGAGTGATATTTATCTAGACCAATTCTGTCCCAAATCTAATCAAAATCGTTCTAGTTTCCATAAAACGGCGTTCCAAGTTAAAAGAAAAACCACATTTATAAAATCGAGTCATCACAATCTAAATTTCTAAGTTGACTTGTCCGGACTCTTTTTGCGATGTTCTTCTGAAAGTATTTTTACTCTAGACGTCTTTCCAACCAACTAATCTTTGTTTTTAAAAATTTCTAGAGTCCTTAAAACACCCAGAAATGTACAACTAACTATTCTAAATAATTTTAACCAGATTTCATTAATTCGGTGGACTTCTGCAGATTTTTTTTCGTTCGAGTTGATGTAGGTCTGCGTACCGTAATTACAAGAAGTTATTGTTGTTTCTTCTTGTAGAATTTGAAAACACTCAATCGAGCCTTCCATTTACACAAATAATCGAGCTATTTACTTAAAAGAGCGTGACCCCTTGAAATAGTTTGCTTGTAAATTTAAAATAACAGTACATATTCGCAACATTTTCACTACCATTATGAGATCTTTTTTCTGAAACAGGTACTTTGCCACCTGTGCTTCAACAATGATTGCACTTCTTTCCATTGACCCTTTTTTATCATCCAACTCGATAATGATTAATGACTTCATTCGTCTACGAATCCTAGACAAAAAACGTACTTAACGTCCAAAAACCACAAACTCTTGCCACCGGAATTGCCTATTGCATGCCACTACCCAATTTTCTCCCGGCTTTTTTCCCGTCCGGGACTGACCACAGCACCATCTGGTCTGCCATCGACACGTCATCCCTCGAGCCATCAAGGCCAGGCAAAACCGAGTCTTACATATCGTCCATTTGCTACACTTTCCGCATTGCATCGGACTTCTTTTTCGCGCCGACATGCGGCATGCACGCTCGACTGCACTCTGAATGTCATAATAAATGTAAGCGCGTGTTGGCGACCCAAGTTTGGTAAAAATCCAATTTGGATCTCTTCTTGGTCTTCCTAATCGGCAGTGCCTGATTATAATTCTGTCAGTGTGTTAATGCATTCGGTCTAGACGTGCCATATTTGGCGAAGAGACCGTTAGCGTGTGCATGCTTTATTGAGGAGAACGTCTTAATGCAAACTCCACATAAATCAAAACGATCGTTATTTACTGACGTGGAAATAATGACGTGAGCCGATTAAAAAGTTTGGGAAGAAAACGGAACACACGTGCAGGATGTAGGGTAAGCAGGTTTCTAAGACGGAAGGATAATCACGACGGATTGACGTTTTTAGAGAAAAAAAATGAAGAAATGTGTTAATTTACTAATTTGTTAAATCAAGCTTTAGGCACAGCATAATCCAACAGAACAAAATTTTTTCCCACTTTCTAATAATTCTAAATCACACCAAGCAATAAATCCCGTTAGTAAGTCCCCTACATGCACTCTCCTCGCTTCGATTACCACTTGACTTATGATTAATAACGTGTCAAAGCATAAATCTAATCGAGTTTAATATCCAGCATCGTTTAAACTAAATTGTTGATTTCTTAGCGGGTGTCGGTCTCGTGAATAAATATCGTGCCAGCCTGATTCCTTCTTTCGTTCGCTTCGAAAACTCCCAGGCGAGCTTTCCCATTTTATAAACTGTTACTTACAATGTCGGGGTAAAGGTGAAACAATCATAAAAGCGAAGATTTATTTACCACTGCAGTAAACCGTTCCAGGATTCAATTATTCTGCGAAAAAAACCGAAAATTATTGCTCGAGATAGTGTATTAGAAACCGAGCTCTTCAATTACTGCCGTGTGAGCACTCATTATAACGTCAATTATGCGCGCAAATGTTCTTTGTATCCGAGTGTACGCTGCGAGGAAAAAGAGGTGACGCGACTCGGCTTGGTAACTTCCCGAGATGGAGTTTAGTTCAAATGGTGTAGACTTATAATGAAAATACCCTATTCATGGCGTATTGAAAGCCGTCTAGTAACCCCTATTATCATCCGGAATGCAGTGACAACGCAAGCACCTCTAATTTCCGTTTTGAAGGAATCGATATGCTGACGTCACAGATTTGGTTTCGGTTCCCTTGCTTTCACAACATATTCCAAAGAGATTTAAAGATAATTTCTCGGAGGGTGCCACCAACGAAAAGACAAATAAATACGTCGCAGAATCGATATTACAATTTTTACTTTGTAAAGAAATCCGTCGAAGGTTTTTAGACAGAGCTTTCGTCGCCACTAAAGCACAGTCAAACAAATCCAGTTTCTTTGAAAATGAATTATAAAAAAGTGGTCCATGAGAGAATCGAACAACCAATGTAACTAATTGTTATTATAAGTTATAATATTATAATATTAATTTGAGTTTTTTACAAAAGTCTGGTTGCCTATGGTTAAAATCAAAGCGGATTCATAAATCACAAGTACAGTAGGTAGTATGTTATTTTGTAAAATTTAATAACGTCAATGACAATGTTACGTAATTTTGACTTTTTTTCTAAAAATCTGGATGTCAAGACGACAGACAAATTTGTTAATAAGTTTGGTTATTAATATATTTGTTTATAAATTTGTTTATTCACGAGTTTGGTTATATTTATAAATATGATTATAAAATTGTTTCATTATATGTGTATTTGTTCATAAAATTGTTTAATAGCTTGTTTATTCAAACATGTTTCTATGAATTTGTTTACTAATATGTATTTTTTAAATTTATTTATAAAATTGATAGTTCAATCCTAAAATTGTTTGTAAAATTTGTTAATAAATTTGTTCGAAAATTGTCTATTTATCAATTTTCCCTTACATCATTTCGAACTTTCGTCTTTCAGTCGTTTCGTCCTTTAATCCTTTTCCAATTTCGTCCTTCGGTTCTTTCGTCCTTTTGTCCCTCCATTCTATCGATCTTGCACTCTGACGTTCTTCCTTAATTTCGTCCTTTTTTTTGTATTGTCGACCTTTCGTCCTGCCATCCTGTCCCACTTGGGTCTTTACGTTCTTTCGTAATTTCGTCTCTTCGTCCTTTGCTCCTTATACACTACTGTCCTTGTGTCATTTCGTCCTTCCGTCCTTAGGTCCTTTCGTTTTTTCGTTCTTCAGTCCTTCCCTTATGATACTGTTTGTTTATGAATTTGTTTATTTATAAAATTGTCTATTCTTTTTTGTTTATTCATAAATTGGTTACACATTTGTTTATTTATTTATATAATATATTTTTCATAAATGTGTTGGTGTGTTAGTTTGCTAATTCATTATTTACAAATTTTGTTTATAAAATTGTTTATTAATAAATATTTATAAAAATCATTTTAAATTTGTTTGTTCTTTCGTCCTTCTGACCTTTCGATCTTTCATCCTCTATTCCTTTCGCCCTTGAGTCTTTCCTTAATTTCGTTCTTTGGTTCTTTCGTCGCTCAGCCCTATCGTTATTTCGTTTTTCGTCATTTTCACATTTTGTGCTATCGTCCTATCGTCCTTCCATCTATTCGCTTTTGGGTCCTTCCCTCCTTATGTTATTTTGTTCTTTCGTCATTTCATCCTTTGGTCTTTGCGTTTTTTCCTAATTTCGTTGGTAAATCCTTCCTTTATAATGCTGTTTGTTTATGGATTTATTTGTTTATAAAATTGATTAACTTGTTTATTCATAAATTGGCCGTAAATTTGTTTATCTGTATATATTTTTTATAAATGTGTTTATAAATTTGTTGGTGTATTCGTTTATTATTTAATTTGTTTATAGATTCGCTAATTTATAGATGTCTATGTTCATAAATATAAAATTGTTAGTAAAACTGTTAAATTATTAATAAATTAGTTTATTTTGTTTAAAAATTTATATATTCATGCCGTCCTTCCGTTTTTTCGTCCTTCCATCCTTTCGTCTTTCTGTCCTTCCGCCCTTTTCAACTTTCGTCCTTTCGTCTTTTCGTCCTTCCGTCCTTTAGTCCTTTGATCATTTCATCCTTTGGTCATTTAGTCTTTTCGTCTTTTGGTTCTTTCGTCCTATCGTCCTTTCGTGTAATCGTCCTTTCGACCTTTAGTTTTTACTTCTTTTCGTCCATTCGTCCTTACGTCCTTTCGTCCTTTAGTCCTTTGGTCATTTCGTTCTTTCGTCTTTTAGTTCTTTCGTCCTATCGTCTCTTCGTGTTATCGTCCTTTCCACCTTTCGTCCTATCGTTTTTTCGTCCTTTCGTGTTATCGTGCTTTCGTCCTATCGTTCTTTCGTGTTATCGTCCTTTCGCGTTATCGTCCTTTCGTTCTTTCGTCCTTTGGTCCTTTTGTTTTTTTGTCCAATCGTCCTTTCGTGTTATCGTCTTTTCGTCCTTTCGTTCTTCCGTCCTTTCGTCCTTTAGTCTTTTCGTTCTTTCGTTCTTTCGTCCTTTCGTCCTTCCGTCCTTCCGCCCCCTCATCATTTTGAGCTTTCGTCCTTCTGTCTTTCCGCCCTTTTCACCTTTCGTCCTTTCGACCTTCCGTCCGTTGGTCTTTTGATCATTTCGTCCTTTCGTCCTTTAGTTCTTTCGTCCTATCGTCTTTTCGTGTTATTCCTTAGTCCTTTGGATCAAGTGGAGTATTTGTTCTGTTGGACAATAAATTATATTATTATTATTATTATTATCGTCCTTTCAGCCTTTCGTCTTTTCGTTCTTTCGTCCTGTCGTCCTTACGTCCTTTCGTCCTTTATTCCTTTAATCATTTCGTTCTTTCGTCTTTTAGTCCTTTCGACCTATCATCTTATCGTCCTGTCGTCCTATGGTCCTTCGTGTTATCGTCCTTTCGTTCTTTCGTCATTTCATTCTTTGATCCTGTCGTTTTTTCGTAATTTCGTTTTTCAGTCCTTCCTTCATAATGCTGTTGTTTATGGATTTATTTGCTTATAAAATTGATCATTTATTAACTTATTTATTCATAAATTGGCTATAAATTTGCATATATTTTTTATAAATTTGTTTATAAATTTGTTGGTGTATATGTTTATGAATTAATTTGTTTATAGATTCGTTAATTTATAATTGTCTATGTTCATAAACATAAAATTGTTTGTAAAACTGTTTATTAATAAATTATTAGTTTATTTTGTTTAAAAATGTATATTTCATGCACTTTTTTTATAAATTCATTAACAAATTTGTTAGAAATTTGTTTATTTATCAATTTGTCCTTTTGTCCTTTGATCCTTTGTTTAATCATAAATTGGTTAAAAATTTGTTTATAAATTGTTGGTGAATTAGTTTATTAATTAGTTTGTTTATAGATTCATTAATTTATAAATGTCTATGTTCATAAATACAAAACTGTTTATTAATAAATTAGTTTATTTTATTTAAAAATTTATATATTCATGCACTTTTTTATAAATTCATTAATAAACTAGTTAGAAATTTGTTTTTTTATCAATTTATCCTTTTGTCTTTTGGTCCTTTGGTCGATCAGTCCTAGCGTTCTTTCTTTCCTTCGTTCTTTTGCCTTTTTTACTGTTGTCCTTTCATCCTTCTATCCTTTCCTTTGTGGATCCTATGTTCTTTCGTAATTTCGTCCTTTCATCCTTTGGTCCTTTAGTCCGACCGACCTGGGATCTTTATGCCCTTTTGTCCATTCTCTATTTTGCCCTTTCTTCCTTAAATTATTTAATTTCATCTTTCTGTCCTTTCGTAATTTTGTTCTTTCGTCATTTCATCCTTCCGTCTTTTCCTTTTTTCCTAATTTCGTTCTTCAATCCTTGCTTTAATAATGCTGTTTGTTTATGGATTTATTTGTTTATAAAATTGATTAATTATTTATTAACTTGTTTAATCATAAATTGGTTATACACTTGTTTATTTGTATACATTTTTTTTAATTTGTTTATAAATTTGTTGGTGAATTAGTTTATGAATTAATTTGTTTATAATTTCGTTAATTTATAAATGTCTATGTTCATAAATATAAAACTGTTTGTAAAACTGTTTATTAATAAATTAGTTTATTTTGTTTAAAGACTTGCACTTTTTTATAAATTCATTAATAAATTTGTTAGAAATTTGTTTAATTATCAATTTATCCTTTTGTCCTTTGGTCCATTGATCGTTCAGTCCTAGCGTTCTTGCTTTTCTTCGTTCTTTAGCTTTTTTGTACTGTTGTCCTTTCATTCTTCTCTCCTTTCCCGTTGGAGACCTTACGTTCTTTCGTAATTTCGTGCTTTCATCCTTTCGTCCTTCAGTCCTACCGATCTGGAATCTTTATGTCCTTTTGTCCATTCTATATTTTGCCCTTTCTTCCTTATGTTATTTAATTTCATGTTTCTGTCCATCCGTAATTTTGTTTTTTCGTCATTTCACCCTTCGGTCTTTTTGTTTTTTCCTAATTTCGTTCTTCAATCCTTCCTTTATAATGCTATTTGTTTATAGATTTATTTGTTTATAAAATTGATTAATTATTTATTAACTTGTTTAATCATAAATTGGCTATAAATTTGTTTATAAATTTGTTGGTGAATTATTTTATGAATTATTTTGTTTATAGATTCGTTAATTTATAAATGTCAATGTTCATAAATATAAAACTGTTTATTAATAAATTAGTTTATTTTGTTTAAAAATTTATATATTCATGCACTTTTTTTATAAATTCATTACTAAATTTGTTAGAAATTTGTTTTTTTATCAATTTATCCTTTTGTCTTTTGGTCCTTGGTTGTTCAGTCCTAGCGTTCTTTCATCCTTCTATCTTTTCCCTTTGTGGACCTTACGTTCTTTCGTAATTTCGTGCTTCATCCTTTGGTCCTCTGGCCCTACCGACCTGGAATCTTTATGTCCTTTTGCCCATTCTCTTTTTTCTCCTTCGTCATTTCATTTTCTTGTAATTTCGTTCTTCATTTTTCCTTTATAATGCTGTTTGTTTATGGATTTATTTGTTTATGAAATTGATTACATATTAACTTGTTTATTCATAAATTGACTATAAATTTGTTTATTTATATATATGTTGTATAAATTTGTTTATAAATTTGTTGGAGTATTATTTTATTAATTAATTTGTTTATAGAATCGGTAATTTATAGAGATCTATGTTCACAAATATACATATTGTTTGTATAACTGTTTATTAATAAATTAGTTTTTTTGTTTAAAAATTTATATATCCATGGATTTTTATAAATGCATTGATAAATTTGTTAGAAATTTGTTTATTTATCAATTTGTCCTTTCGTCCTTTGGTTTCTTCCTCGTTCCGTCCTATCCTTCTTTCATTCCTTCGTCCTTCGTCCTTTCATCCTTTCATTTTTGGGTCCTTACGTTCTTTCTTAATTTCGAGCTTCCATACTTTGGTACTTACGTCCTACCGATCTAGAGTCCTTATGTCCTTTTGTCCTTCCTTCCTTCCTTCCTTTCTTCCTTCTTTATGTTCTCTAATTTCATCTTTCCATCCTTCCGTAATTTCGTTCTCCCGTTATTTCATCCCTTGATCCTTTGCTTTTTCGAAATTTTGTTCTTCATTTTTCCTTTATAATGTTATTTGTTTACGGATTTATTTGTTTATGAAACTGATTATTTATTAACTTGTTTATTCATAAATTGACTATAAATTTGTTTATTTATATATATGTTGTATAAATTTGTTTATAAATTTGTTGGGGTATTATTTTATTAATTAATTTGTTTATAGAATCGGTAATTTATAGATCTCTATGTTCACAAATATATTGTTTGTATAACTGTTTATTAATAAATTAGTTTTTTTGTTTAAAAATTTATATATCCATGGATTTTTATAAATGCGTTGATAAATTTGTTAGAAATTTGTTTATCTATCAATTTGTCCTTTCGTCCTTTAGTTTTTTCCTCGTTCCGTCCTATCCTTCTTTCATTCCTTCGTCCTTCGTCCTTTCATCCTTTCATTCTTGGGTCCTTACGTTCTTTCGTAATTTCGAGCTTTCATACTTTGGTACTTACGTCCTACCGATCTAGAGTCCTTATGTCCTTTTGTCCTTCCTTCCTTCCTTCCTTCCTTCCTTCCTTCCTTCTTTATGTTCTCTAATTTCATCTTTTCATCCTTCCGTAATTTCGTTCTTCCGTTATTTCATCCCTTGATCCTTTCGTTTTTTCGAAATTTTGTTCTTCATTTTTCCTTTATAATGTTATTTGTTTACTGATTTATTTGTTTATGAAACTGATTATTTATTAACTTGTTTATTCATAAATTGACTATAAATTTGTTTATTTATATATATGTTGTATAAACTTGTTTATAAATTTGTTGGAGTATTATTTTATTAATTAATTTGTTTATAGAATCGGTAATTTATAGACATCTATGTTCACAAATATATTGTTTGTATAACCTGTTTATTAATAAATTAGTTTTTTGTTTAGAAATTTATATATCCATGGATTTTTATAAATGCATTGATAAATTTGTTAGAAATTTGTTTATTTATCAATTTGTCCTTTCGTCCTTTAGTTTTTTCCTCGTTCCGTCCTATCCTTCTTTCATTCCTTCGCCCTTTGTCCTTTCATCCTTTCATTTTTGGGTCCTTACGTTCTTTCGTAATTTCGAGCTTTCATACTTTGGTACTTACGTCCTACCGATCTAGAGTCCTTATGTACTTTTGTCCTTCCTTCCTTCCTTCCTTCCTTCTTTATGTTCTCTAATTTCATCTTTCCGTCCTTCCGTAATTTCGTTCTTCCATTATTTCATCCCTTGATCCATTCGTTTTTTCGTAATTTTGTTCTTCAGTCCTTCCTTTATAATCCTGTTTGTTTATTGATTTGTTTGTTTATAAAACTGATTATTTGTTAACTTGTTTATTCATAAATTAGTTTATTTTGTTTCAAGATTTATGTATTCATGGATTTGTTTATAAATTTATTAATACATAAATTTGTTAGGAATTTGTTTATTTATCAATTTGACCTTTCGTCCTTCCTAGCGTTGGATCTTTCATCCTCTATTCCTTCCGTCCTTGAGTCTTTTTCTAATTTCGTTCATTTGTTTTTGTACTGTCGTCATTTTGTCCTTCCGTCCTTAGGTCCTTTCGTTTTTTCGAAATTTCGTTCTTCAGTAATACTATTTGTTTATGAATTTGTTTATTTATAAAATTGTTTATTTGTTAAGTAGTTTAATCATAAATTGGCTATAAATTTGTTCAGTTATATATTTTTTTATAAATTTGTCTATAAATTTGTTCGTGTATTAGTTTATTAATTAATTTGTTTATAAGTTCTTGAATTTATAGATTTGTACATATATTGACAAATTTGTTTATAAAACTATTCGTAAAATTGTTTATTAATAAATTAGTTTATTAATATTTTTAATACAGATTTGCTTAAAAATGTTTATACATATATTCATAGTCTTGTTTATAAATTTATTAATAAATTTGTTAGAAATTTGTTTATTTATTAATTTGTCCTTTTGATCTTTCATCCTGTATTCGTTTCGTCCTTGAGCCCTCTCCTAATCTCGTCCTTTGATTTTTTGTTGTCATTCTTTCGTCTTTCCGTCCTATCCCACTTGGGTCTTTACATTTTTCCGTAATTTCGTCCTTTCGTCCTTTGCTCCTTACATACATACAATGTATTAATAAATTTGTTAGAAATTTGTTTATTTGTCAGTCTGTCCTTTCGTCCTTTCGACTTTTTGATCTTTCATCCTTTATTCCTTGAGTCCTTGAGTCCTCTCCTAATTTCGTGTTTTTTTTATATTGTCATCCTTTCGTCCTTCCGTCTTATCCCACTTGGGTCTTTACTTTCCTTCAAAATATCGTCCTTTCGTCCTTTGCTCCTTACATCCTTGACCTTAAGTCATTACTTCCCATTCGTCATTTTATCTTTCCGTCGTAATTTCATTCTTCAGTCTTTCCCTTAAGTATAATACTAATTGTTTATGAATTTGTTCGTGTTTTAATGTATTAATTAATTTGTTTATAAGTTCGTGAATTTATAGATGTGTATATTGACAAATTTGCTTATTAATTAATCAGTTTATTCATATTTTTTATATATTTGTTTAAAAATTTATATATTCATAGACTTGTTTATAAATGTATTAATAAATTTGTTAGAAATGTGTTTATTTATTAATTTATCCTTTCGTCCTTTCGACCTTTCGCTCTTTCATCCTTTATTCCTTTCGTCCTTGAGTACTCTCTTAATTTCGTCCTTTTGTTTTTTGTACTGTCGTCCTTTCGTCTTTCCATCCTATCCGAGTTGGGTGTTTACGTTCTTTCGTAATTTCGTGCTTTCGTCCTTTACTCCTTGCATCCTAACCACCTTGAGTCATTACGTCTTTTCGTTGATTCGTCATTTTGTCCTTGCGTCTTTAGGTCCTTTCGTTTTTTCGTAATTTCGTTTATGAATTGATTTATAAAATTATTTATCTATTGACTTGGTTATTCATAAATTGGATATAAATTTGTTTACTTGTATACATTTTTTTAATAAATTTATGTATAAATTTGTTGCTGTATTAGTTTATTAATTAATTTGTCTATAAATTCTTCAATTTATAGATGTGTATATTCACAAATTTGTTTAAAAACTTGTTTATTAAGAAATTAGTTTGTTCATATTTTTTTTTAAATTTGTTTAAAAATTTATGTATTTATAAACTTGTTTATAAATTTGTTAGAAATTTGTTTATCTGCCAATTTATCCTTTCGTCCTTTCTTCGTCCATTCGACTTTCAATCTTTCATCCTTCATTCCTTTCGTCCTTGAGCCCTTTCTTAACTTCGTCCTTTGGTTCTTTCGTGGCTTGGTCCCTTCGATCTTTCGTTTCTTCATCCTTTGATCCTTTGGTTTTTTCGTAACTTTGTTTTTAGGTCCTTACCCTATAAATTTGTTTGTTTATGAATTTCTTTGTTTATAAAATTGGTTATTTATAAATTAGTTTATTCGTAAAATTGTTTGAAAAATTGCTTATGAATGTCTCGATTCATAAATTTGTTTATAAAATTGTTTATTAATGAAGTTATTTATTTATAATTTTTTTATAAACTTGTTTATTCATAAAATTGTTTATTTAAACAATTGTTCCTCAATTTGTTTAAATACAACTGTTTAGTAAGTGAAATACAGCAAACCCCGCTTCTATGAAAAATTTAAAAACAATTAATACAAGGCACAGTGTAAAAAAAGAAAGGCTTTACAACTCTGCAACTTGGTATAAAATTTCGTTATATAGTTTGGAGTAAAAAAAAAAAGCAGATTCATAAACTACTAGTAGCATCATGCAAAATTTTGAGGTGTTGATCAGACAAACTTTGGTTAACATTTTCCAGCTATACGTGATTCTGAGCACTCTGACA